ATTGTTTGTAAGTCACCGAAAGCATTGTAAAGGGTTGGATTGCACCATAAGTCAATCAATATAGTGAAAAGGCATTGCTCGTGTTGGAGAGCTTGGTAACATGGGACGTAGATCATTGCTTTTGATCAAACCTCCACAAATATATCATTTGTATAATCTCTCCATTTTACTTATCGCTTTTATATTTGTGCTTACTATTTGAATTAATCTATTTCGTCTTTATTTTCTTGAATTTAGATCAATTTTTCGAAAAAGTTTTAAAAACCAATTAATCTCCCTCTTGGTTAGTTATTCTTGGGCTATCAATTATTTGATTGATTGTGATCAAATAACTATATAATTTGTTACCAATAAATAATGTGTGACCTAAAAATTTGTTATGCTATGATCAATAATTTGATAAATTGTGACCTAAAAATAATTTGTGATCAATTAATTTGATATTTTCGTGACCAATTAGTAGTGACTTATAAAATTTATGATCAAAGAATTATATGTGACATATTATTTTGATAAATTTGTCATCTAAAAATAAGTTGTGACCCAAAAAATTTGTAATCTATTGTAAATTTGTAATTGTGGTAATTTATTGTAACTTTGTAATTGTGACTAATATATAACTGTGACCATAAATATTATAATATTGTAATCTTAATATATTTAATTAATAAAATAAATTTTAAATTAATTATTTCATAAATAAAATTTAATTAATATTTGATTTTTAAGGTTTTAAACATTGTTTCTTAATTTTGAAATGGGTCATAGTTACACCCTGTCTGGCATCGATTTTGTTAAGCCAAACAATTGATTTTTCTACCGTTTTTTTCCAACCTGCAGGCCAAGTGTGAGAAGGAGGGTCAAAAGTTGCGGCTGCCAACGTATGGAAAATTGCTGCCAACATATTGAATTCTGATTTTCAGCCGGGCCAGACAGCCCCTTAATCTTTTAGATATGTCATTCTCCTTTTAACTTTATAAAATAGAGAATGAATTGACCCATTTTCTCTATTTTTACTTTATAACGAAAGCATTTAATAAGTTACAAGTTTTAATAGTTTACTTCAAAAATTATTCAAATTATATTTGAATTGATTAAGCATTAATATATAAAAAAATATTAATAAATAATCAAAATAAAGAGCACTGTTAGACTGCATAAAAATTGTATTCTCAAAAATTAAAATTCTTCTCTATTATACATAAAATGATGTTTTGAAAAAGAAAGTCTCTTGAAAATACTATAATGTACATAAAAGTCACTTTTAAGTTAAACGAAAGGTACTTTTGATAGTAATCTGACCTTGCAGACAAATAAGTAATTTGAGACGAATTCCCATTTAAAAAAAAATGTAATTTGAGACGAATATTTAACCCCAATTACATATTTGTTAATAGATTTAGGTGATTATTTTCTTCAATTTTATTTAGCTTTTGTTTGGTAAAATGTATTTGAAAATTATTTTTCTATTACTCAAAATCTCATAAATTCAAATTTTGAATACCGATAATTATGTAAATTATATAAAAAAAATGATTTCAATATTTTAACAAAAAAAAGCCAAGAGAACAACTTCCTCGAGTGAAAGCCGGCCTTAAGCAGGATCCAAAGACGTTTAAGTCCAGTTCCAATCTAGATACCTCCACTAACATAACCTAATTCTAAGTTTGAATCATTCTCTTTTTTAACAAAAATATTATTATGAAGTCCTAAGTGAAAATATGTTCATGTTTTGAACTCATCAATTGAGTTACCCACATATTTATTCTCCTTCCTTAACAATTTGTTTGAAAGAATGTAGGGTAAGGATTAGAGATTAGTAGTTTGTATAGAAAACATTTTTTTTTTAAATCTTAATTTAATGTTAATATTCATAATCATATGTTGTATAGTGTTAGATTCTCTATTTTAGTATAAACCAAAACAAGGGATGGGGTACATTTGAAAATGGAATCCAATTAATTAGTGAACTAAGAAAGAACTAGGTCAACTAGCGAACCGAGCTGCAAATTTATCGTATGAGTAGTCAAGTTGTCATAACAAGTGAAAAATATAATATATTGATGAGCGGCGAACGACTCATGCGACGAGCTTAGCGTCCCATTTAACAACCCTAGAAAGAATCCTAAAGTTGAAGTTAAATTGGGTAGTTCTACCTTTCTACAATCAACTTATGTCACCTAACAAGTTGTCCTTTTTATAATGGCAACATCAAAGTGGGTTCACTCATTGTATTTTTGCTTTAAGATTCTTTCTCCATGACTGGTTTGTGAAGGGGACTACTTGTCAAACATTTTGGATTTATATATAACAACATTTTGCATTTTCAAAATGGAATATAACTTTTTGATAAAAGGGCCCACTTTGATTTTCCTTGAAAATTTATTTAATTTCACATTTGACAGGTTCAGTTAAAGATAGTCATCTAAAATGTTTGTGTATTAATAGTATGATATTATTAATTTATTGCATTGAACGGCAAGAAATATTGTCATGAAAGAATTAAAAATTAAAATTTAATTTATTATATTGTTGGGTTGCAAATTCAATATTGTATAATAAGCTCTTGATGGAGATTAAAATCAGATTTTGATAAAAGAAGATAACGTGTGTGGTTGAAAAGTTGACAAATTAAAATTAGATTTTTTAGAAGATTTTTAAAATTTAACATTGCATAATAAGTCCCTGCACGTGGTTAAAATTTAATTTTTGACTGTGATTTTAATTAAAATATAGGTGGAGCTACTTCTATTTGATACACATTTTTTCAAAATACATTCTTTCGACTCATTTTCAATCATACATTTTTCAATAAAATAATATTTTTTATCACATCAATACATTTTCCTTACTTTTTAATCACATATTTTTCTTTATATCAATATTTAAAATACATTCATTGCTCAGTAATATCTATCAAACACACGTAGAATCAACTAACAAAAGAGATGTTCGTTTGATGTTGAACTTAGAACAAATCATATACTCTTTGTCCATCTATCTGTCAACCATTTAATACAAACATAATACAGTTATGCTACGTGTACAAAATTGGGTTACAAATTTGATTTACAAAATACGTGTTGGCAAGATCTAGGATTCTAGGTCATTGATTTCAAAAACTATTTTTTAAACTATTGGCCAAAATATTGTCAACACGTATTTTGTAAATCAATTTTGTAACTCAATTTTGTACTAGTAGCATGACTCATATATATATATATACACACACAAACACACGAACCAGACAAATTCTATTCAAAACCTAACTCCTAGACCATTATTTCCATTGATTGGTTGTTAAAGGAGGAAATTAGAAGAAATGTGGACTTTCGTATGCTCATTTGTAAAAATATCTAAAAAAATTTCAATGTCAATTTTGTAATATTTTAATTAAAATACACTTGTTAACAATTTATAATTCTACACTAAAAACAAAAATGTGCATAGAACTAAAAATTTATTGGCCGTTAAAATTTTAACACATAATATACCCTATTTATTTCAAATGTACATATATCAAATCACAATAAATGCACAAGTATTAAATATCGAGAACTACATTTCAAATGTCAAGAACTTTATGAAATGTAGAGAATTCTCATGTTCGAAATGAAATCTCATCCTAAACAAATGAAGTATCAAGATAAACCAGATTCAAATATCGATAACAACTTTTAAAATGTCTAATGTTGAGAAACTACTACTTCTTTTCGAAATTCATGATAAATTGAAAAAAAATGTATCATTTTTCAATAAGGGTATAATAGATAATTTAGTACTAAATTTAGCCATTTTTATAAGAGTTATCAAATTAATCAATTTTTAATTGACAAGTATGAAGTTAAGACATTTTTGTAAATTTTCGTTGTTAAATGATTAAATAATAAACATCCCATCATAATATCTTAGAGGAGATAACTACAAATCTTGTCCACGGCATCTTCTTCAATAAAATACTGTACCCAGATTCTTCAAACCATGCTTTTTCAAGTTGATTGATAGGTAAACAAAGGCAACAATAAAATAATTCCTTTACAGATCATTCCCATGATGTAATCTACAAGAAAATGAACATGAAAATCAAATATGGCTACCTACATATTTCCATGAAGTAATCTACCTTTCGAATTGCAAGAAACCGAGAGACGTCTAGGCCTTTTGCCACCACAAGGACAGGAGGCTCGAAGACACAGTGGTTTTAGAAGGCACGTAAGTGTAAACGCTTTGTTGAATGTGAAATCGACGGTACTACACTACATAAGTATCGTCAGGTATCGATTTGTCGTAGCCTTTTGCCACCACAAGGACAGGAGGCTCGAAGACTCCTGGTTTTTGAAGGCATGTAAGTCTAAACGCTTTGTCGAATGTGAAATCGATAGTACTACACTACATAGGTATCAGTTAGGTGTTGATTTATTGTAGTGATGACAACGACAGTGCACAGAGTTAACTACCGAACATGTTGCAACCTTGGGATTAATATTAAGTGCGCGAGGGAGGCATCGCACGAAGTTTACATATTTTTTTGTAAAAAAAAAAAAAGGTAACATATTACAAATTGATGTACTTTGTTGAGCGGACCATGACTTTTTCTTGAGGTAGACAAAAGCTAATGTTTGGTTTTTGCCTAATCTTGAAGGGAATCTTCAAATGATGTCTTTCTGGAAAAAAAATTCATCATGATTCTTCAAAGCAAAGAAATATTATAACTAGAAACACACACTCATACAAGAGTCAATTAATTAATGAAGAATTTTAATCACTTATAAGGAAATGCTTATTCTTTTGAAGAAATTAAATTAAGAAAAGGAAATGAAGTGCTCAAATTCACGTGTATACTAATAATAACTCAATTCAACATAGAAGAGGAAAATTCTAATCCTGCAAAATTTCAAAAACACTCTGCCTCAAGATCTTTTATGTGTAATGCATAAAAATTTTAATCCTCCAACATATACTCTCTATATATGCAAAACTCGTGGTGAACGTTTAGTCGTCTACACGTTGGATAAATGTATGCGACTTTTCCAGCTATGGCTCTCCAAGTTTTCGTCGTCTTCATCTTCCATGCTATCTGCTGCAGTCATGGAAGTTGCTCTGGAGGATCCAGTTAAGTTAAGAGGTCCCTGAGGAGAACCGGATTGGGATGTGCTCGGTTTTGAGGATTCACCATACTGTTCTTGGGACAACCACAAACTTCCTAGTACCACAGATGGATTTGTGGACGTGCTTTGAACTCTTCGAGTATGAAGGCGATATTTCTGAAATCACGAAAAGTAAGAAAAAAATTAAAAAAAATACGAATGTCAACAAAAGAAGGGAATAAGAGAAGACGTGCAAATTCACACCAACCTGCAAATGACTCTTCACTTCATCATTTGTGAGACTATCAACTTGCATCAGTTCTCTGATCTGTTTAGGAGTAGCAACTGCAAAGGAAGGAAAAAATCCCAAATGAGATGTGCAACGACTCTTAAGTACATGTCTGGTACATAATACTAAATTCGACTAGAAAAATATAATAAACGAGATTTTAACTTTTTTTCTTCCTTATTACAGTTCAGTACTAATTCATTCCTCCCTACAAACATGTGGTGAAACAATAACTCATTGAATAAGCCCTGAGTGAACCAACTCTTATCCATCCTCTCAGACAATCCATATTTTTGCCAAGGAGAGCACGAATTCGTAGTAAACAATTAGGAATACTATGCCATGCTAACACATAACAAGATAAATGAAAAGAAGCAAACACAAAGACACACACTTTGCTCGATATATGCCTTACTTTCTCCTTCCACGATTGAATTTCGCTTTGCATCAACTTACATTATCAAATCCGATCCTAATTACTCACTTTACGACAAAAAATATAATTTCAATCCAATTTCCAACCAAAATTGCAACAAGCATTTAAGACACAAGTAGTTTAAGTCGTAACCTTGTGGACCTCCAAGTTGTTGCAGGGCATCGACAAATCTGCGATGCAATTCAGGCGACCAGCATCTCCTTTGCTTCCTTGCAGTTTGCTGCTGCTTTGATTGTTGTTCAGTCCTCAAATTTGCTCCAATATTAGTTGCCAAAGAGGAAGTTAATTTGCTACAACCGAATTGCGAGGTCAAGCCACTATAACCAATATCCTCCCTCGAACTCTTCATTTTGGGTATACATAGCGAAAGCCCTGTCGCTTCGGGCAATTCGTTCTCTTCCTTCCTCTCTGCATGACTTTTACACCCTTTGAAAGGTACATATTCCTTTCCCATTGTCCTATTTTTAACAGGCCTAAACAAATCATCGATAACCGGCCGAAGAATTTCTCCTTCCACTCCCTATTTTACCAGAAAACAAAAACAAAAAAAAATACATAAACACGTATATGCAAGAAATCAAATTAGAACAACTTTGCTATTTCTGTAATACCTTTTTGATATCCTGTTTTAAGGTTTGATTACTGTTATTCAAATCAAGATTCGGATATTGATGGTGATGATCTGAGTTCCATAGCTGCACAGAGCTCATCCAATTCATTTTATCTCTATTGTTAACATCATTTTCTGTACTGGCCTTGACCTTTTCATTTTCATCATCACCAGGTTTCTTTAATGGTATAAATTCTTCCAGAACTGGCTGAGCATTTGATTTCTTGCACTGCTTTAACTCTTCCTCCATTGTCACAATCGCTGTAATAGCAGTGGACACAATTCCAAAATCAGGCATCAAATTTAATTTAATTTTTTTGAAAAAAAACTTATAAAAAAGAAACAAACTCATTAATCAAAATCATCAAAACCCCATTCCCATAATATTATTTAAAAAAAAAAAAAATAGATACCCCAGCAGCAAAGAACCTAGTAGTGAAAGCCTAAGAGAAAGAAAAAATCACCTTCATAACTTATTTCTACACAATAAATTTTCACATATTTTATATGCTGAAATAATGAATTTTTCTAAGCGAAGGAAAAAATGAACTAACCATCTTTGAGAAGGAGCATGCAAAGAGGAAGAACGCGTTTGAAGGCATCGATTTTCTTCATTTCATCTTGGAGTCTATTGACGTAATCATCAAGCTTTAAAAGCCTTTCAGAAGTATTACTAATCGTTGAAACTTCTGCAAGAAAATCACTGATTGTTTTGGGAATATAAGTTTTTGTTGCTGACGATAATCTACAATTTAAACCCAGTTCAGGTGGACTTGACGATCCCATATTTTTCCCAGAAACTCTCGATTTCTGTTTTCTTGTGGTGAATAATCTGAAGCCAGGAGCAAATGAATCGAGGAAAGACTGAGAATTTCTATGTATTTGTCTATATATATAAATATGTACGGGATTGAATATTACTGTTGCGAAAGAGAATGAAAAAAGTAGCTTTTTTCTGGGAGAAAAGAGTGGAAGAGAGAAGAAAGATTGAAACGTGAAGATTCTGTTGGGCAACGCCGAGTCTGGACAGAGCTAATCCTTGTGTATGTTCTGTGGATGTATAGACGTGCAAATTAGGAAAAGTCTACTGCGCCTCGTCGCATATTTCAATTGCCTTATAAAAATCAAGATGCCATAAATAATATCCCCATCTCTACCCGTTCCGTCCCGTCCCGTCCCGTCCCGTCCTAGGTTAAAGATAAACAAGAATACGCGTAAGAAAAATTGTAGGCCGCCTAAAAGTAACGTGTGTACGATCAACTCTTCGTATCATCTTAATATTTCATGTGCAGTGAAGTTAATAGAGAATAACGTTATTATCTTTAAAATTAACGATAGTGTCTTTTCAACTTGTAATCCTCGCATTTGTATATAAAGTGACCAAAGCATGACCTTCGTGTTTTAGAAAGTATAAATTTTTGTCGCTCTTCGGCCTTTAAAGCAAACTGACATCACGAGGAGACGCAACTTCAATTTCGATTCAACAACAAAAAGAGAAAAATATTGCAAGTTATATGAAATTTGGTTAAGAAGCAATAGAAATATTCTAGACCTAAGAATGATTAGTATTGAAATATCTCTTTCAAAGATTAAAACTATTGAAAAAAATAGTATTTATTTATTTAAAGATTGGGATTTCGATTGAAAAGTTGTTATGTCGGATTGTCATGTACCTATGAAGCATGTTACATGTACAACATTGGTTGACAGCATTAGTTGATATCATTTTATTTGACATCATCGTATCCATCCATTTTAAAAAATTATTTTTTACATCATATGTTAGGATTTTGATAACACATAATTGTCAATCATTATTGTCAACAAATATTGTACACTCAGCTTTATTCAATATATAACTAGGAGTTTTGAATTCGGATCTTGATTATACATGTAACTCTTTTATTTATTTACAATAAATTTCAGAAAGATAATGCGAAAGTTGTGTTTGTGGGGTAAAATGAACTTTCCGTAGCTTAAAGATGAGGAATCTTGGGCGAGCGGCTGAGATTTCTACACGCTGCTCAATAAAAATGGACAAGCTTTTACGGCCTTTAGATTCCATTACTTTGAAGCATCTCTTAAACTTGTATGACTCTATAATTTCTTATACTCGGAGTTGAGCACCTCCTTTCCTTTTTGTCGGATACGTCAATATTAAAGGTTGGTTTGACAAATTTTTTAAAATGTCAAAAATTATTTTTAAGATTAAGAAATTACTTTTGAACTTGTTTAAATAATTTTTTAAAAATATTATCTAACTCGTCAGAGTTGAATGTGCATTGCACGTCATTCTAAAATACTTTATAAATACTGTAAAAATAATATTTGATATCAGTTTGTTGGGAGGATTTGATGAGTCTGAAACAAACTAAAGAAAATAAAATTTATGATAGAAATTCAAGAGAAAAAAATTGTACTGACAAGTGTATTTTATACACATATTTAGACATAAAGATATAGACATTTAATAATTCTTTTGAACAATTATAGCCTAATTTATTGTATACTTCGTTTATTAGATGAAACTCGATGAAAGGAAGTCGAAATGAAAGAACGAAGCGAAAATTGACCAAAAATGACAAGATCTAAAGTTTTTGGACTAAAGTGTAAATACTCAAAAGTTTGTGTTGAACATCAATATGAAGATTCGAGAATAGTTTAAGTCAATTAGAAGTTAAAAAAAAGAGTGAAATACGATCAAAATATTTTCACAAATCAATTTTCAACCACATAAGTATGTTCTAGATTTCTAGTGGGGGATTGAGATCCATTTTTGATATAGTAAACATTCAATTGAAAAAAAAATCTAGCTCTAGCAAAATTGTAGCCCTTTAAGTTATCTTTTCGACGCTCTTTGAAACACCTTAATATTGAAAAAGTTATGACAAAAATTATGACAATAATATTAGAAGAGAAAGTTATGACAAAAATACTGAAAAATGCACAGAAAATGAACAGCAAACTAGTGTCAGACACCATACTTGGAGCTCCCAAGCGCTAGAGACGAGTTTGGAACAGCAAGTTGGCTCCCAAGCACCGAAAACACAATACCCAAGAGCTACGGTTAGCTAGAAACAACAGTTTTGGAACAAAGAGGTAGCACCTAGGCGCCACCCAGAGTTATATCATAGCACTTATGCGTCGCCTTCAACCGCTTAGGCGTTGTGTCGCATGTTTTAGGGTTACATCGTTTTGGCCAGCGAAAAGCTCAAAAAGACTTCATATTTGGGAGAGAAAATGACGTAATCTCTAAGATTAAAGAGTAAAAGCTAGAGTTTTAAGATTTTTTAAGTTGAAGAAAATTCTTGGTGTAAGATCAAATTCTTTCAATGATCAAGATTTCAAAACCCGATTATGAATTTTTACTTTTTGTTTTTCTTTCATAATTATGAGTAGTTAAATTCATAATTAGGGCGAACAATATAATTTATATGTAACAATTTATTTCTTTTATTCAAGATTTTAGTTATTTAAATGCATATGTGTTGATTTTATTCGTGAATTTAATTATTTGAATTATTTGGTCAATCATTCAATTATGAATCTAGAGGTCAATTTTAGGTTTAGACCACATACTAAAATTCGATAATTTAGTATAATGTGTAGAGATACGTATATTAATTATTGCGGTCATTAGATGAATTCTTAAAACTAATATTTTGTTTAACTAAGATTGATTTACATAAAGATATGGAATTGAATCAGTTAAGTAGATTTAATGAGAACTCAAGATGAGTAAATTAAATATTTTAAGAAGAATTCGACCGAACATTACAATAGTAATGAATGTTGATTAGTGAATTAAAAGGGATCCATATATAAAATTGTAAGTCTTAGCATCCACATTCATACTTTTAAAATCTTAATTCGATAAATTGTGTACATTAAATTAATTTAGTTTAGTTAGAATAATTTAAAAACCAATCACAAACTTTATTATTTGTTTTCGATCAAATCAAAGTCATGAATAATTTAACCAATTATTAGATAGTAGTTCTCGTGGGAACGATATCCGAACTCATTGATCCACTATATTACTTGTTATGATCCATACACTTGCGCAATAAAAAAAACACAGCATGTAATCTCAAAACTCAACTTCTATGATTTAAATTTTTTGTAATGATGAAATTTTACGAATGAGCAACTTTTTTATGCTATATTTGGTAAATAAGAATTAATTGTTAATACATGAATTGAAACACTCATCAAATTTCCAGATACATGAATGGAAATACATTCATTTATAATACATTTAAACACTCATTAGAATTCCTAGATTAATATAGATCAAGATTAATAAAGTTCAGATTCATCAAGTCTAGAATAATGTGAATATTAATTAATTGAGAATTAATAACAAGAAATTCATACGTAACAAGGATTTTGTAGCATTTATTACATATTGAATAATGAAAAATGAGGTATTATTGAAGTAATTGCATTGTAATATAGTTAAAATCGTTCAAAAAATGATTTTCATTTGATATGATATTTAATATATTATAGATTAGAAGAGCTGGCATAAAGGTTCGTTTTGCAGGCTTTTGAAAGTAAAAAATTGTTTTTGAGATTAAGAAACTGTTTTTGAGCTCGTTTGGACTAATTTAAAGTGTCTTATCTAGGTAAAATAGCTTTTAAAGAAAATTAGTCTAATACAGGTCCTCTAAATTTCCTTTTATGAAAAATAAAAATCCCGCCAAACGCACATTAGGATCATTTTCTCAAGAATGTCTAAGAAGTAAAGGCAATATTTTTGTCAAATGGTCCTTTTACTTGAATTTTCAAGAATCATCGGTTAAGCTCATGATTTGTCCAAGATTTTTCAATATTTTTGTAGGCCAAAATAATGAGTAGGGTTGAGCATTTGCTTGTGAATGGGCATGAATCATTCACATAATTACAAATGACTAGATCGGCCAGATCTAATTTAGGAAAGATTTGTACTAGAAACATCCTTAATTTCTGATCGAAACATCAAAATTAGTTAAATATAATACTGTCTATCTATAGATTAGAGCACAGTGCTCCGAGCTCTCATGACATAGTCTTCCTTTTAAAAAATATATATTACGAAGTTGTATTTAACTACTCGACAAGACTTTTGTGACTGACGTCATACGGACAACGTATAAGTGGATGATCTGGAAGATTCTATTTTTTAAATTGAAAAATATATTTGTACGAATCCCGATGTGTTTAAATAAAATGTTTCCAAAGAGCAGAAGATTCCTTCCAATCCATTGAGCATAATAGAAACATGGAATTTGGAGATGTTCTTAATATAATGGCTACCAAAAACAGGTTGGTCATGTTTTTAATATAATGGCCACCAAAAACATGTTGGTCAAATGAAAGAAAAAAGGATAACATTAATTTGGAATTCCAGATAAGATAGAGAGAAATAAACGATATGGATGAATCACAAGTTAAAAAAATATAAGAATAATCGAAACGATAATAAAGACCTAAAAGTGAAATTAGTAGGTGAACCTAATGTACACATCCCTCGTATATAAAAATGATGGTTTAGCTTCGGACAAATACCATATAGAACTAGATCGATTAGATTGTTCGATTGTCGTACCATAATAAGCCACTCATGGTTAGAAGAGAGCCCGAAACGAGCTCAATAAAGGAATGTTCTCTATCTCGCTTCTTTCTACTCAAAGAAATTAACAGACAGTTCGCTTCTAATCATCTATGATAAAGACGTCATAATGACAGGTTTACATGATCTATTAGCCAAAGGTTATCCAAAGTTGGACCGATGGGAAGGACGC